AGGCCATGAGGGAGGGGGCACACCGGACCTCGGGAGGCAAGATGTTCCATAGGGCGGGAGCTACAGCAGAAAAGGCCTTCTGCCTAGACCCCACCAATCGAAATTCCTTGACTGGTGGGGTCTGCAACCTGCCCCTTCTCCTGGACCGAGTGGGGTGGGCTGAAACAACCGGGACGAGACGGTTCCTCAGATACCGGGTGCCCATATTACACGGCTGCCTGTCTGAGCTGCGCTGGCTTCCAGTTTCTTTCTGGGTGCATTAAATATCTTGAGTTGTACAAAATAAAGGTGGTATATGAATCAAACAAAGAAACAAATAGAAAATGTATATCAACCAAACACATTTTCTGGGGCAGCCATCTCAATTTCTTACTTTATGTATGTTCATAATACTGAATTCGAGGTGTGCAAAATGTTTTGAATTCAAAGCTCCCCATTCCAAATTTAAAACAGCTGTTCCAGTGCTGTTAGGATGATTCTGGAAGTATGTTGAGCTCAAAATGTTTCAAATGTGCACACCACCACTGGCGAGGCAACTGTAATTGGTTGACCTGTCTTCCCAAACCAAGCGATTCTCTAGAATTCTAGACCAAGGGTTTTCAAACTTTTTGAGGCAGCAGAACCCATTAGTTTAAAAAAAAAAAATTTCTGGAACCCCTCTGAAGGTCAGCTGACAAGTCCTACCCTTTCTTCTGCACCTTAGGAAAATTGCTCTGGATGCCCCTGGCCTGCATTCAAGTCAGCTTTCCCCCCCCTTAGTCTCTCATGGAGCCCAGTGGTTCTGTGAAACAGAGCATGAAAAGCCCCACTGTAGACCGCTGGCCACATTGGCTGGGGAATTGTGGAAGTTGAGATCTACACCTCTGGAGAGCCAGGATGGGAAAGCTGGGATTGATGGTGTCTCAGCTGCACGTCTTGACCCTCATGTCTGAAGACGATCTGGAAAATGGGGAGGAATTTCATTCTAGCTGCTTGGTATTCAAATATGGCATTGAAAAAACAAACCTTTCTGAAGGGAGAAAGCTTGAAAACATTGACCATGAACTGTCCCACTGCTGGGGCTGTTCAAGGGTGCTCACAGCCAGTTGCCTAAATTGCACAAGAGAATATTTCATCTTTGAATTTAAAAGTCAGACCTATGGAAGGAAACAAAGGGGATCCATACATTATCATTTTTTCCCCTTGGAATTTGGGAGGCCTGGGAGAATTAAGAAACTAGATCTGTGTACAAGTAGTCTTGGAGAATTCTCCGCCAGATTTTGGGGCATAGAAATTGGGTGGATGGTTTTTCTGAATTCCTCCCATAATTTCACTAGGACAGGGTATGCCTTCTGATAAAAAAGAAAAAGAAAAGGAGGAGATCCACATGATAATTTCTCTTAGGATTTAGTGGCAGTCTGAAGCCTTCCTGGACTTGGTTTGCATGCGGATCTCCTGGCAAGAGCATTACAATCTACCTGGCTGTACGCTTGCTTTCACCAGACTGAATTAGAACTGGTAGACTAAAATGTAAAATTACTCCTCTGTAAAGTAACACATTCAACAAGTACACAGATGGAAAGAGTTTGTAAACATTGCCATTTATTTCTCTTATGATTCTAGGGCAATATTAGATGTTTGAATCAAGTAGAAAACAACAATATGGATGAAAATAAAAAAATCCAACGTTTGTTTTAGGGCAATACTTTTATTGGGATCTGCCACAATTGCATTTTTTTTTCTTTTCATGAAAAAAAATAACTTTGTCTCCTAGCAAAACCTTCTCTAGAGATGGGTTCAGGTTTTTGGGTTACTCTCTCGAAATGTTCCAGTGAATTCTGATGGTTTAAAAGCTGGATGACAAATTTTTGCTTAAATTCTGTGAATTCTCAAATCTCTCTCCAAATCTTAGAGTGGAAGTAAATGGGGAAAAAAGAGGGCTTCCATGCATGAAAGCTTCTGTTGTGTCAGGACTTGGGAAAGGTGTACGGTGGTATGGGCAACATTTTGAGGAAGGGGGCCAGTGGCTACCATAGAATGGTACAAAATGGCTGAATTGTATTACACAGAAGAGCAAGGCTGGGGTTTCCCATATTTTTTCTGGGTTTTGCAGGATAGATTGGAGGGGAGTTCTTCATTTTTAAAATTACATTATTTGAAATTATCATATTTTGGACATTATGTAAAGACCTAGCTCTCTTGAGAAGTCTGTAATGCTGGGAGTGAGACGATGTCCAGTAGCAAGATGGATGGACTCAATTAATCACCCATTAAATTGGTGGTGATGGGAGCACCATGAGAAGACCTAAAGGGCCATGTTGGGGGAACATTATCCTGGAGAAGGTCTATCTGCTTGGTTGCTGAAAATCAACAGCAACTTGATGGTACGTAATCAGTCAGTCAGAGCTTATTCAAGATTGTACATTATCGTTTTTGTGTGCTTCCTTGTGTCAGAAATGACAAGATGACAAATGGCCACTAATTTTAGGCAGTTTTGGGGTGAGGCCAGACACGGAAAAATAGGCTTTGGCAACCGCATGTTCACCCACCTTTGCATACTGTAAGAGTTAGGCTAATAAATAACCGTTACATGAGCAACCAGCTTCAGACTCCCAAATCTTTTCTGTAATGTATGCGGAGATACAGTTGAGTCTTGCTTATCTGACATAAACGGGCCGGCAGAATGTCGGATAAGCGAAAATGTCGGATAACGCACAGTGACGGTTGAGTGCGGTAAAAAAAAAAAAACTGATCCGCTGCGCCTGTCGCAATCGATTTTTGCGTTGCGGCGCCGCACCGTCAGGAGCAACAAGAGAGTACACTCACGCTCGCAAACAAGCGGCACGCTTTTCTCATCGCCGATTTATGAGTGTTGTGTTTTTTTTAGGGGCGTCGGATAAGACGGAATGTCGGATAAGCAAAGGTCGGTTAAACGAGACTCTACTGTACATTGGCATATTGGTTCTAGACTGGAAATTCTTGTACCAGTGTGTCATCTTAATAAAACCTGCAAAGAGAACTTTGTGAATTCGCGCTTGGGAAAAAAATTACTTTCCATTCAGGTAGGGCCAAAGCCCTGACATGTACAAAACAACCCAAGATAAGCCATCCAGTGGGGCTCAGCAAGCTGTGTTTGAAAGTCAGCCTTGTGTCTCAAATGGATTGAGGTTAATTGTACTGAAATCAGTGCTGTGTGAATTGTGCAAATCTCTGTTTGGTATATAGTATATACATCTATCTCCTAGTAGCTGATGAATGAAAGGGTGAATTGTGATTCAAGATATTTGAGTTCAAATCTCACCCTGGCTTGTTTTCCATCTTCTCTATAACATGGACATTGTAAACTCCAGCTTTACAGAGCCATTGCCAAGAGTTAATGTAAGTGAACCTGTTGCTGGCTGTGATTGTACGATACTTTAATCTGGGGCTTACAAACCATTGTGGACTAAGTCAGGATCAAACCACATTATGCCTTTGCATGCTGTTTGAACCAATCCATCGTATTAAGCCATAACGGAGTTCTGGTTTGTTCATTATGGATTCTATTTTGCAAGCTAAGTTGAATTACACTTAGACAAGTTAATTACAACTTGCCTGGATTTTAGCGGGAGAAATTTGGGTAATCCCATCGGGCTCCAGTCCTGTTTAACCATAGGCAGTGAAAATGCAAAGTTCTTCCTTGATCAGGATATTTGGGGGTTAAAAAAAAAAAAAAGGGTAAGGTTGACTTCCCTTCGTTTTAGAAGTGGGGTTTGTTTGCTTAACTTTTCTTTCAGAGGTATTTTGCATTGAGCTTGTTATTTCAAAAAAGCAGCTTTTCATTATAAACAACAATATAATGCTTCTTTCTTAAAATTACATTTGCTTGTTTCTTTGGCAATAAACTCCAGGAATGCCTTTGTTTATCAGAAGGCGCTGAGTTGCATTCTCCAGTCCTTCTCCTCCTAGTGGAAAAAAGGGAATGATTTCTAGAAACCTAAACTCAAAGTTAAAGGATCCCAGGGGGGTCCATCCTTCCTGTAGAGGAAGCAGATTTTGGCACCTCTTTCTGATATGGGGGCGGGAGGGGGGCTGGAGAAGCACGGGGTATCGCTTTCAAAGACCACTGTGTGCAGCTGATACGACATATTAATGAAGCCCAGATTAATACCATGTGACACGGTCACGGCGTTGCCATGCAAGCAGAGCTAACGAGGCTAATCAGAAGCATATTTTTGGTTCCCGAAATTACATCTTAGTGATGGCTGATGTCAGAAGGGAGTAATTATCATCCCCTTCTTGAGATGGCTTTGCAGTGATCCTGGGCCTCGGTCCTAGTCTTGTGAAAGATCAGATGCGGAAGGGGAAGAAATCGCCAGGCTAGAATGAAGAATTCCCTGCTTCAGATGTTAAGGTTTCGCTCCTTGCGTTCAATGTTCTTTTAGCTCGTCGTCATCCTGATGATGATGATAAAAGGGAAGTTGGTGATCCTGTTCCTTGTGATAAGGATAATAGGATAAGCGACGGTTTTACATAGCTGCAATCTCTTTCTCCTCCACCATCCAGGGGATTCAAAGCAGAGGATCGGAGCTGACCACTGGCCTTCCCAGGTTCCCCATTAAATGGATGGGCAGAGAAATTGCATGAATGATTTCTCTGGGGGAAGCAGATTTTTTCAGCACGGCAGATTTCCCTCTTTGCAATAACAGCAGCTCTGGGGAGATCCCTCCGGCGTGAAGTCTCCCCGGGATCTAGAGGAAAACTAGGTGCAGGTGGCCGGAGGGAGGAATTTTCTATGAAAAACGGTACGTCTCTGTCCTCCTTGGAAAACATTTCGCTCGGTGAATGTAAGAACATCACCAGGAGAACTTTGACAGGATTTCTTTTCTTTTTCCTGGAAGCCGTTTCAGAGGCAAGATAAGTTTTTCATCATACTGAATGAGCAGTGGTAGGAGAAAAAACGCCAGTATGTTTCCCCTGATCCTAATTGGAATCGCCTGCTCTGCAACTCTGTGGTGCATCTGGTGTTTCTGAAGGAAGAGTCGCGGCAGCTCCTGACACCAAGGGCCGGTGGGAGTGACGGCTTTGCAACATCTGGGCAGCCAGAAGTCCCTCCCATTCCAATCTGTGTTGAGATATCCTTATGTATTTATTTATTTAATGGCCTGCCTAATAACAGAAATTCTCTAGATTACGTACAATGCGTGTTTTAAAAAATGGGATGGGGGGGGAAAAGCTGTATTAAAATTAACATCGGCACCGCCACGTAGCTGCTTTGTGATCCTCCCCTTCCCCCCAGGAAATCGTGCTGCCCTAACTTTTGCTGCAGCCTCAGCATGCCTTTATTGCATGCTTAGAACAGGTCTCACCTGGGCAGCTGTCCGCATGGCTTTAATGCACACTCTTCTAGGGGCCAGGATTGGCAGTTCCTTTGGCTGAAGCTCCAGCCCCCTCCTGCTGATCCACCCTGAGAAAAGCTGATGACTGGCATGTACAGTTCTCTAGTTATTCCATACTCTATTTAAAAAAAATGTAAAAAAAATTCCTTTCTTGCATCGAATTTTTTAAATTCCTTAACACTTTGGTTGACTGTTTGACTGTTCAACCCATCAACCTCTAGGTGGCAGCAAAGTGTTCTTTTGTATCTCATGGCTGCCATCTACTGGTTGTTTTGATACGTGCACCTGCTGGATAGATGCCCTTGAAGAGCTGGAATCTGAGAAAGAGGTTTAGCTGTATCAGTGTGGAAGCTGTAAATATGCCAAGAGAAGGAGTTCCCCAGTTCCTGGAAGTGCAGACACTGGAGAGGGGAACTTCCTGCTGGGCAGATGGCAGAAGTACACAGGTCCATTCCTTTCAATTCTACTTCCAGTTACTCTCATTAAGCCAAGGACAGGCTAGTATATTTCACACTCTCTAGGTTTACTGGTTGATATTCAACCAACCCATTAAAAAAAAGTGGCTGCAGAGACTGGGGCTCCAGTCTTCCTGCCAGTCAAGAGAGGATTGAAGGACAATAGAACAGATCAAGGACCATATGGAAGGAGTGATCCCACAGAGAATAAGTAGAAATAGTTTGTTGACTTGGGATATACCATTTCAAACTGCCTTCCCCTGTGTGCATTAACACGTCCTGTGTGGTCCACCAGCAGGATGCAGGATAAGAGGGAAAACACCACTTCCAGAGTGGATCATCCAGAGCTGTGGGTGGATACAGGTGGTGCAGGTGACATGCCCTCTGGTTAATGGGCTGTCCTTGTCCCATGACAACAGTTTTAATGCAAGGTGGGGTTCCTCAATCCCGCCCCTTTCAAATGTGTTAGCTTGCAGTTCCCGTCATCTCCCGCCAGCATGACCAGTGGGGATGATGGCACTTGGTGGTCAATATATCTGGAGACTGCATACACCCCCACTGCAGGATCAGGCATCTCCTTCCCAGTTCCCTGGAGAAAGTGACCCGCAAATGATCTGAGAGAAATCAGAAAGAGAATTTGGTTGAATGCTTCCTGGAGTAAAAAGTATGGTGACTTCCGTGTAACAAACAGCACAAAACTTTTACAAAAGGAGAGAACTTTCTCCTTCTAAGAAATAGCCCTCAAATGTGAATCTTTGTAATTACAGGACTGTTCCTGAAAGATGAGGAACCACAATAAAGGGGATGTAGAAACCAACCAAGTGCTTTCATTTACTCCTCTTGTAAATGTATTTCCTTCTCTTTCCTCCCCATGACCACTCTGGAACTCCTGCTGCTTAGCAGGAACTGGAAACAGCTGCTAGAGATGTTACTCAATCTTCCAGGTTAATAGGGAGTCAAATTTGATAACAAAGCAGGTTGATACCACCTTATCGCTTCATTTTTGATTCAGTGAAAGGGCTTCCAGTAGCTTCTCACGGGCTTTGGTTTTGTCCTTTCTCTACACAGGTAAGAAAGCCATCCCACGTCTCCAACATTCCTGTCTTGGCTTTGTAAACACAGGCATTCTTAATTTGGGGCAAAAGAGATGGACTGGACATTTGGGGCAGAGAAGGAGCTGGTGCTGTGGTCTGTGGAACTGAATTCTTAGCCTAAAGAAGGCAATAGTGGGCTGTGGATGAGGATCTCAGGAAAAAAATAAGCAAAAGGAGCGAGACCCTGGTGATCAGATGGCCACGGACAGGTGGTTTCTTGACCACAGTGTGGAAGTGGTTTGTTGTGGTCATCTTGTGGGTTGCTCCATGATCTGCCCTGCAGACTTCAAATTCCTTTCCTCATCCAGGTTGTTTCCCCATGGGCAGATTGTCCACATGATGAAAGCAGTGTTGCAGCACAAGATCTGCCCTTTTGTGTGTGCAATGTCATGACAAAGTATAAAAGACTCCAAGCTTGCATTGTAATGCTTTCGCTACACTGATCTGTTTGACACCACCACCACCCACAGCCACCTTTGAAAGTTGCCAAGGGCAGTAATAATAGCTGTGGCACCTTGGGGCATAACCTGTCTATCTGTCAATCTTTGCGTTGTATCTATTCATTGCCTTGAACGGAAAGAAAACATTATGTGCAGGTAGTCCCCGAGTGAAGAACACCCAGTTTTGTTCATTGTGGAATTTTCTGAATGAATGTGACCCAAACGGGAAAAAAAATCTGATGAGATGACATAAAAAGATGGATGGGAGCAGCATGACAGAGTGCAGGAAGGATCTGGGCCATTGGAGACCCAAGAATGAGACAGGAGACAGTTTGGTGAATATCTGCTTAGAAAAATGTCTGCTTGGTTTGATTGCAAGTTTTAAGTATGTCTCTCTCTCTATACACG